CAATGCCTCCTTTACTCTGCTGGGCTGGAGTATTTTCACATGCTAAACCAATTGCATATAGCCTTTGTTCACTCCATTCTCTTAGAAAACTTTCAAATAATACAGAGTCATTCACAACATCGATGATGCAAAATGAATTGGTCATTGGAGAAATGTTGTTCGAGGTACTTGCATCTTCAACAATAGAATTCATTTGTGGATCAATTTTTTCATATTTATTTTCAGAATGCAAACTTTCACCCACTGTTATGGCTCCTTGACAATTTAATTTGTTTTTCAGTGATACATTATTTACTCTATCTGTTGTCACTGCGCTCTTCACATCATTCGTTTTTTTACAACACTGTATTGCAAGAGGTGACACAGGTGATGAAAACATATCGCTAGAGAGTCTGCTCTCAATAGGTTGAACAGGACTCACTTGGTTATCACTATGAGGCTGAGAGTCATTTTTCAAAGTAGTGTCAAGATTTTCATTTGGTTGTCCATCTAATAAAGCTTCTGTGCCAGGTGTAATATCTAACTGAGTGAAAGTGGTACCCAAGCCTTTTACATTAGTGTTATCCTCACCAGTACTGTTATTATCTTGGAAATCAGTGAGAGAATTTTCACTGTTTTTGTACTCCGATTTATCACAATTACTCGAGTTTTCTTTAAGTTGATCACTAGTGCTCTCTCTCTTCCCCTGCTCAGCAGCTTCATTTTGACCATCAACCAAATCCTCATTCGATGACAACCAATGAAGGTGAGTCTCAAAGGCTTGATCAGGAAAGGATTCAAATATAGTTTCGTTGTTTATGTTTGTATTCTCATTTAACTCCAAATCCTCACAAATATTTTGATTCAGTTCTTCAACAGATTGATTCTGACTTGTGGATCCTTCCTTGTCATACACTGAAGGGCTGCTGTCATTGTTCACCTGTGATCTATCTTCACAAGTTTCATGAGATGCATTTCTTAACAAGTTCTTTTGTTGTGAAACTGACTGCAAGTATGAGCCATCTAAACTGATAATCTCTTGTACTCTTCTACAACTATCTATTTCATTGTCCAGTATTTTGTCTTGGTTAAAACATGAAAAATCAAAATCTTCTGAATAAGCTTGATAAATGACACTCTCCTCACATAATCTCTCATTCTCAGCCTCAGCTGGCACTTTCAAAATATTATAATTTATTAATTTATCTGAAATAAAACCCTGAGAGAATATATTGCTATGTGGGGATCTCTTTTTATTGTTTTCTGTTAAAACTTTAGGATATTCTGTCAATTTTCTTTTTAAATTTGCTGTGTGATCAGGAATTAATGTGTAATTCAGATGTTGCTGATCAAAATTACCACTATGAACACCAAATCTTTTAATATGTTCCTGTCTGTCCTCTTCACTGCTTTTTTGTACTTCAAATGTGCCCATAGTTTGTGCCTCATAATTTCTTTTAGATTCTTTGCTTTGAACATCTTGAAAAGACACATTCTCAGATCCTGAACAAAAATCACATGAATCCATTGTCTTTAAAAGACCATCTTTCAGTGATTTAGAAAGATCAAAACTTTGTATATTGTGGTTTACTTTTGCTGTAAGATACAAATTATTTTTTGAAAAATCACTGGGCTTTGGTATGTCATTTTTAAGATGCATTTCAGTGGCATTTACAAATATAGGAGATGAATGTGTAGACTGTTTAACAGTTAGATCTCTATCACTGCTTTCATCAAATAAATCACTGTTTTCTTTCCTTTTGATGCTCTCATGCACCTTACTAACTTCTTCCTCACAAGATATACTGATGTTTTGCAAATCCTCAACATTCCAATTAGGTTCAGATTCTTGTGTCATGTCTCCTGCCATCATACCTTGTAGTACTGCTGAAGTCATAAGGGTACCAGAGTTAGTAATGCAAGTTTTAGCAGAAAGAGTATTACTCCTCTTGCATCCTTTACCTATGGGAGTGCTTGTGTTCATACCCTTACTGCAATCCTCATCTATACCACTGATGTTATCATATGCTCTTGTGTCCTTCATTTCTGGAATAATCTCTTCACAAGGCTGATAAGAAGTATTCCTAAGCTCTGGATTGTTGATCCCGCTGAATTCATTGTTAAATTTACCTGCAGCATTGGTCGATTTCAGGGTACCAAAATTGCTTTTCACATTTTTATGTCTTTTGGGTGAAAATATATTGTCTGATTTATCTTCCTGTGATTCAGGAATAACAAAAGATTTGGTACCTTTGCTTAAATTAACCATTTCCATATTTTTTTTTTTGGTTTTATGTCTTCCAAATAATAAGCCAGCAATAGAGGAGTTATTTTCAGAATTATTGCTGTTATTATTTCCTGAACATAAGTTGGGTAGTTTATTGCCAGAAATAATTTCTGTGTGTTCTATTATATTTACATTCTGTATGATTTCCATATTTTGTGCATTGTTATTTTTACCAGCATCTTTATCTACAATATTTGTTTCATTTTTGATCATATCTTGAGTGTTTTTCCTATCTTTCTTTTCTGTATAGTAATCTATATCATGGCTCTTGTTATTACTATCCTCATTTCTTGGCTGGTTCCCGTTAGCTAAATCACTGTCAATATTTACATTTTCTATATCTTTCCTATCATTTTCAGAAGTTCTTATAATTATTTCAGTTGCCAGTCCAATCACATTATGTTTGTTCCCTTTATTTTCTGGAACTTCCATATGAGAGTGAGAATGTTCAATACTTGCAGTATACTTTACATTATTATCTTCTTGTTCTTCAGGTAGCTGCACTGGCACAGAGGTTTCTGAATTTATCTGGTCTTGCATACAGTTTTCAAGTAACATTTTTTCTGAGTCATTAGTGATTCTGGGTGACTTCGACTTCCTCCTCAGAATCAGTGCTAATGGTGATAATCGTTTACCTGCTTTTACTGTACCTACAGGTGCTATAACTCCCTTGGTTCCACTTTTTACATCTACTGAAGAGACACTATCTCCTACTCTTGTTGCTGAAGACTGCAGTATGAAATTCGGAGAGGATGAGTTCCTTCGCTTCCCAATGATGACTCTACGATTTGCTGAATATGAAGCACAAGAAAGTGTGGGTGACTCTTTTGCTGGTGTAGTGACTCCTTTAGATTTGTGTGTCCAGTCTATTGAAGCTATACCAAGCTCTTTCTGAAATTGATAATACAAATGTTTTATATCGTTTTGCCATTAATGTAACCTTAAATATTACTGGAGCTGCCATTCTTAAGATTTAATATACCAGATACACAGTACAAACATTGGAAATAAAACAATATCATAATATTATAGATCATACAGAATCAATGCCAATTTGTCATTATTATTAATCAGTACTCTAAAACATAATTCACAGTATCTTTAAACACTAAAACTGCATCCCAAAAACGACAAATCTCTCTAGGTTTTTGACAATATAAAAATAATCTTCACCTAACAACTCAACTATCCCAAGCTCTAATACACTTTGTAATTACCCATTTTTATATCTATTTGTCTATTTATTTTTTTTTGGTGTGGGAGGGGGCAGTGAGCTCCAGCTCTTAGTCCCACTTCTTAACTTTCAACCAAATGGCACAACTGTCTCTCTTATATCTATGTCTATTCCTAAATCCTGTCTGCGACACGTTAGATCTACTGTTCAACTCTCAAATAAAACAAAATTTAAAAACATCTAGTCCACCTTTTCTGTCAACCTGTCCTCTAATTAGGGCAGCCAGATTCACATGAATTGCCACGCATGATTTTCTGGATTCATAAACATTCAAAAAAAAAAAAATTATATTTTTCTTGGTCAGCATAAGTTAGGTTTGGATAGGTTAATGTATAATAACTTTTATTTCTGTATAATTACCTGACAATAGAACATTCTTTGCTACATATTGTAGCAAAGAGTGTATACTTATATACTACTGAAATTCTATTCATGCAATTCAAACACATGATACCAAATGTGAACGACAAGTTGATTCTGCATATTCATCTCTCTCCCTGGACCACTTAAGCAAGTACCTCACCTGTACTAACTGGCGAGCTTCAGTGACAATGAGAGCAGCAACCTGAGCCTCAGTTAGGGGACGACTAGATGATAACCAGATGGTGCCCTCTGGACGACTCCCGTTATCTCTCATCTTGTTGCTGCTCACAAAACCATATACATATATGATGGATTATTATTGTTATTATTATTACTACATTCATGAGGAAATGCTAAACATGAAAAGATCATTCAGTGCTTGAGAACATAAGGGAGGGAAGGAGGGCATAATCAGGATTATTCTATGGAAAGGGTAGCTGCAATTCCTTGAATCAAGAGTCCTTTACCACCATCAAGGTGCATCCCCTTGTAGGGAAGTAATGTTTAATGATCACTGATTCTGAAGTTTCAGGTTTACAAAAGCACAACCAAATACATTGGTAATATCTTACAGTACAATAGAACATGCCAATGATTTGAACTTTGATAAAAAAAAAATTTCCTTATGGCTATCTGATACATAATACAAATACAGTGGACCCCCGCATAACGATTACCTCCGAATGCGACCAATTATGTAAGTGTATTTATGTAAGTGCGTTTGTACGTGTATGTTTGGGGGTCTGAAATGGACTAATCTACTTCACAATATTCCTTATGGGAATAAATTCGGTCAGTACTGGCACCTGAACATACTTATGGAGTGAAAAAATATTGTTAACCGGGGTCCACTGTACAAATACAAGTTTATTTTAAAATGGTACATTGTTTATACAGAAATGGTTGACACTAGAGAACCCATGGTTATGTAAAGCATTTTGGGCAAGTTTAAGTTAGCCTAACTTAACACTACAATGGCATATCACTGAACATGATTAATAGTCTTCTAATATTTTGTAAGCACATCTAAATGAGTTGAGAGCTGGTGAAGTGACTTGCAAAATACTAGCTAGTCAGTGTAGTCACAGATGTACCTGAACTATATGACTGGTTGTATTTGCTAGTTATCTGCAGGATAATCAACTGTGTATATATTATTATTATTATTATAATCAAGGGGGAAGCGCTAAACCCGGAGGATTATACAGCGCCTGGGGGGGGGGATGTGGAAGGCATTCAGGCTTAATTCGGGGAACTGGAGCACAGATCCAATTCCCTAAATCAAGAGCCCCTCACCAACATCAAGGAACCTTCCTTGAGGGGAACTGTGTATATAAATATTTGCCAATGAATGTGAATGTGCAGTGATGAATTACTCAGCTGAATGAGCAAAATTTTACTATTATTGATTTCTGATCAAGAACAATCCTTCTACATCTCTGACAACAGACACACATGTGCTGATACAGAAATTAACAGAGATAAAAATCTTTAAATGTGAAGCATGTTAGCAAATGAATTTATTGGAGAAAAAGAAGCAATTGCAGAAAGGAAATTTGTTGAGACATTTCACCTATGGAATAGGTTTCTTCAATCTCTACTTGTTGGCTTTTTGCCATTTATCTTCAAGTAAATTTACTGTACAATATCAAGCCATTTTTACACCATGACTAATAGAGGTTCATGAAAAAGGCAGACAGCAGAAGATTTTTCTATGCTAATGCTATCTACAGTACTGTTCTACACTTGACTGTAGGGACAGAATGCAAGCAAAATCTGCAAAAAAAAAAAATTTAGCCAAGTAATTCACCATCACTACCCATAGATTGGAGATAAATCTTTAGACAAGTCTTCCCTCTGTCATGGATCATTATCAAATCTGACTGAATAAGAAGTTAAGTTGAATCAGGAGAAGAGTTACACAATTGAAATTTTTTTCTTGTTTGTATTACTATTTGTCTATTTTACAGTTTAGTTTTCTGCTTGCATACACTTGCTGAGGCAATGAATATACTCCTCACACAGTCTTGTTACTCTGTGCATAAAAGAAGCAATGGCATCACTTGAGTGATGGCCAAATCATTCATTATATGAAACTTTAAGAGTAATTTTAATTCGCTTCTTTAAAACTCTTAACACTTAAAGCTGTTAAAATAATTACATTCTATACAAGCTATACACTTAAGACAAGAGATGTTCTAAAAGAAAAAAAAAGTTATACAGATATATAATGTAAAGATGGCTATAAAGATGAAACTGAACAAGCATTACCTGTGAAATGGTGAAGCGGAATGTAATATATTCTCTACATCAAGAGGATTAGCATGAGCCACCAGAGTGACAGTCTCCAGTCCTGCATTATACAACTCTCGAGCACGCTGGCCATTAACATGTGACAACCGGACTAAGTCACACAATTCTCGCTGAATTCCAAAGTGCAGACGATCTTGAAACTGAGTAACAAGTAACTCAAGATTATGCCATCCAAGGCGATTGCAAAACACAGTAACCATTCCTGGAGGCAAAAAAGTTACTGTCATTAAATTTATGTTAGTCAGCTAACATAAATATATTTTTTATTTTTTATTTTTTTAACAAGTCGGCCGTCTCTCACTGAAGCAGGGTAACCCAAAAAGAAAGAAAATCCCCAAAAAGAAAATACTTTCATCATCATTAACCCTTTGACTGTCGTGGCCGTATATATACGTTTACGAGGTACTGTCTTTGACGTATATATACTCATAAATTCTAGCGGCTTCAAATCAGGCAGGAGAAAGCTGGTAGGCCCACATGTGAGAGAATGGGTCTGTGTGGTCAGTGTGCACCATATAAAAAAAATCCTGGAGCACACAGTGCATAATGAGGAAAAAAAAAACTCCGACTTTGTGGTCTATTTTCGTATAGTATTTGTGGTTGTATTCTCGTTTTCTTGGTCTCAATTGATAGAATGGAAACTATATTATACAAACAGAGGTGATTTTGATTAATTTTACTATAAAAAGAAGTAAATAAATGATGTCATTGTCCAATAAATGTCCAAATAGCCATTCTAATACGCAGTCATGAATGGGTTGATGTAATTTTTACAATTATTACAGCATTGCAGTAGTCTGCATAACAGTAAATCTTCTATTTTTTGTTTGAATAAAATTTCAAAATAAAAGGCAAGAGTAATATCACAGGGGCCTGGAGACATGACTGATGAACAAAGAAAATGTTATTTTAGAGCCACGAATGTCTGCATTGTTCATTCTGGTCCTTATTTTGAAATTGTCATATTTTTTAATTTTCGTGAAATTGGCCAAATTGCAAATTTCTGACCATGTTATTGGGTAGTTGAAATCGGTAAATGGGCAGTTTCTTGTACTCAGTCAATGGAAAAAAATGGAGTTCTGAAGAAATAGCTATGAGTTTGGTTGACTGGAATAATGGAATTAGCCGAAAATAGGGCTCAAAGTAAGCGAAATCGCCGATTTGTAAATATCGCCGAAGTCGCTAACTTCGCGAGAGCGTAATTCCGTCAGTTTTCCATCAAATTTCGTTTTTTTTGGTGTCTTTACAATCGGGAAAAGATTCTCTATCATTTCATAAGAATTTTTTTTTTTTTTTTTTTTAAATTTTGCGACACCAGGAGACACCTCAGGATTGGGGGTTGCAACAGTCAAAGGGTTAAATACTTTCAACTCACTCACCCATAATCACTGTTTTTGCAGAGGTGCTCAGAATACAACAGTTTAGAAGCATATACGTATAAAGATACACAACATATCCCTCCAAACTGCCAATATCCCAAACCTCTCCTTTAAAGTGCAGGCATTGTACTTCCCATTTCCAGGACTCAAGTCCAGCTATACAAAAATAACCGATTTCCCTGAATTCTTTCACTAAATATAACCCTGCTCACACGCCAACAGCTCGTCAGGTTCCAAATACCATTCGTCTCCATTCACTCCTATCAAACATGCTCATGCACACTTGCTGGAAGTCCAAGCCCCTTGCCCACAAAACCTCCTTTACCCTATCCCTCCAACATTTTCGAGGATGACCCCTGCCCTGCCTTCCTTCCCCTACAGATTTATACGCTTTCCATATCATTCTACTTTGATCCATTCTCTCTAAATGACCAAACCACCTCAACAATCCCTCTTCAGCCCTCTGACTAATACTTTTATTAACTCCATACCTTCTCCTAATTTCCTCCTGCATCCACCCTCCTATAACCACAAACTTCTGCCCCACATTCTATTACTACATTTTTAAAACTATTCCAACCCTCTTCAGCCCCCCCCCCCACTACTCATACTTGCACTAGCCCACCTTTCTGCCAATAGTTGCTTATATCTCACCCGAACTTCCTCCTCCTTTAGTTTATACACTTTCACCTCTCTCTTACTTGTTGTTCCCATTTTCCTCTTGTCCCATCTACCTCTTACTCTAACTGTAGCTACAACTAAATAATGATCCGATATATCAGTTGCCCCTCTATAAACATGTACACCCTGGAGCTTACCCATCAACCTTTTATCCACCAATACATAATCTAACAAACTACTTTCATTATGTGCTACATCATACCTTGTATATTTATTTATCCTCTTTTTCATAAAATATGTATTACTTATTACCAAACCTCTTTCTACACATAGCTCAATTAAAGGCTCCCCATTTTCATTTACCCCTGGCACCCCAAATTTACCTACTACTCCCTCCACAACATTTTTACCCACTTTAGCACTGAAATCCCCAACCACAAGTACTCTCACACTTCGTTCAAAACTCCCCATACATTCATTCAACATTTCCCAAAATCTCTCTCTCCTCTACACTTCTCTCTTCTCCAGGTGCATATATGCTTACTATAACCCACTTTTCACATCCAACCTTTATTTTAATCCACATAATCCTTGAATAAATACATTTATACATTTCAATTTTATATGATTAAAATATGTAAATTTACATTATGCAATATACTTACCCCTCACTTAACACAGGTTCTTATAATGTAACAAAGATTTTGTTCACTAAGAAATTAAATAAGCTTGGTACTTGTTTTTTGTTAAGTTTAAAGCCTGCTGACTGCACATGTCATTATTGCTACAATCAACCAAGCAAATGACACAAGCATACTTCTAGTTCTTCCACCATGAGGCCTAGTCACAGACCAGACCGTGGGGGCATTGACCCCCAAAACCCTCTTCAGGTATACACAGATATGGTATAGTAAAAATAGATGAGTTATGTGACTGAGAATATTGCAGTGCATAACATTAGCAGAGATTCCCCATCATATTACAATAGTAAACATTTCACAATCACGATGAAAATGTATGTACACATTTGTTGTTTTTACTCACGATTTTTATTTACAATACATTCTTTTATCGCAGCAAGCTCCAAATATTCTTCAAATGTTTTTATAGCACCACACAGAATTTTATCATGGTATTTATACTAACAACAAAACCGAAAATTTTCATGAAATTGAGAATAAGAAGACTGACTGAGCATTTGAATATCATAAATCAGGTATACACACAATAAAAAATGAAAAGAAAAATTTCAGTGGTCATGTTCACTAGTTGTCACTAAAACCTGAACTTTGAACAATTGTACCCCTCAAATCACATGCTTTGTAATCCATATGATAAAATTTATAACACATTAACCAAAGGCCATTTTGCAGACAGCTCAGATTATTTATCTTGGTACCAATTGTTTTTTCACTTCGTACATAACCCTTAAAAAAAAAATAACTGTAATGTGCTTGTTCTTTCTAATGAATGTTAGCATTATGATTACAGCAGTATTTAACCCTTTGACTGTCGCAACCCTCAATCCTGAGGTGTCTCCTGGTGTCGCAAAATTTAAAAAAAAAAAAAAATATTTTTTCTTATGAAATGATAGAGAATCTTTTTCCGATTGTAATGACACCAAAAAAAACGAAATTTGATGGAAAACTGACGGAATTATGCTCTCGCAAAATTAGCGACCTCGGCGCTGTTTACAAATCGGCGATTTCGCCTACTTTGAGCCCTATTTTCGGCTAATTCCATTGTTCCAGTCGCCCAAACTCATAGCTTTTTCTTTAGAACTGCGTTTTTGCTATCGATTGAGTATAAAAAAATGCCCATTTACCGATTACAACTACCTAATAATGTGGTCAGAAATTTGCAATTTGGCCAATTTCACGAAAACTAAAAAATATGACAATTTCAAAATAAGGTCCAGAATGAACAATGCAGACATTCCTGGCTCTAAAACAACATTTCCTTTGTTCATCAGTCATGTCTCCAGGCCCCTCTGATATTACTCTTGCTTTCTATTTTGAATTTTTATTCAAACAAAAAATAGAAGACTTACTATTATGCAGACTACTGCAATACTGAAATAATTGTATAAATAACATCAACCCATTCATGACTGCATATTAGAATGGCTAGTTGGACATTTATTGGACAATGGCATCATTTGTTTACTTTTGAACATTGGCAAAAATCAAACATTTCCCTTACTTTGAGCTCCATTTCTAGGTTCTTTTTATAGTAAAATCAATCAAAATCACCTCTATTTCTATAATATGTTTTCCATTCTATCAAATGAGCCCAAGAAAACAAGAATACAACCATAAATACTATACGAAAATAGACCACAAAGTCGGCATTTTAATTAAAAAAAACGGTCGGAGTTTTTTTTTTCTCATTATGTACTGCGTGCTCCAGGATTTTTTTTATATGGTGCACACTGACCACACAGACCCATTCTCTCACATGTGGGCCTACCAGCTTTCTCCTGCTTGATTTGAAGCCGCTAGAATTTATGATTATATATACGTCAAACACGGTACCTCGTAAGACGTATATATACGGCCGCGACAGTCAAAGGGTTAAAGACATAGGGCCAAGAATATTTAAATATTTGGAGATACAAAATTTCCCATTATCCGAAGTTTCAAAATTTACGTCACTGAGATGAACTCAACTCTTACAAATGCCAGGGTTTGACTGTATAGGTACTGTACGGACATAAGTGAGGTTTGGGGGACCTGACAGGGCCTGAAACCCAACCCATTCAATACACTGGCTGTCTCAAATAAGTACGGAACATTTTCAACAATACACCAGAAAGATCTCACCTATGTGATAAACATACCAGCAAGTGTTTTTCATGGAACAAACCAGTATGAAACATTTTAAACAATACACCAGAAAGATCTTGCCTACATGATAAACCTACCAGCAAATGTGGCAGCCGTTTGCTGGAGAGACTGAAGTATTCCTCGTGTGGCACCATACTTCCTGGCCACAGTGTTCAGTGGTACCTCGTGGACTAAATCATGAAGAGCAAGAGCTGTATAAAATCTCTGATGTACAGCTAAATTCTTAACATGCTGTCGCACCTATTGGAGAAGACATAAAATGACTGCAACACTGAATGTAAGAATGAAATCTAAAAACTGTTAAGGATTGCAACAATATATAGAAAGAGAAAATGATGAAATTTTTGAGAATAAGAAAATGTCTAAATATGAGGCTAAAATCAAAGTAATGATCATAGGTAATGGGAATAAATTAAATATTAAGTAACTGGTAGTAGTACAGCTTCAACACATGAAGAAGAGTGATACAAATCCAGCATTTGGTTCACATAACCAAAGAGAAAGCATGTATGGCAGGGAATATATGTACAAGTACTGCCTTATTGTATCAATTTGTTGCTCAATTTTATGTACAACTAGCAAGTATAAAACAGGTATAGCAAATAGTAGAATAAAAGTCACAATATCATGACTGCAACACTTCACAATTATTCTACAATTTGGAGAAGAAAATTTAGATTATGTTTCGTTAATCCTGGACCATTATCAAGTCTAGAATGAGTCAAAAGTCACCTAAAATTTGCTCTCCAAATTTACAATGGGCTAGTAACCCCTTCTCCTGTAATAATTACTAAAAAGAATAAGAAGAAAACTGTCAAAGTGGGATGTCTGAATGTGCATGGATGTTGTGTGAATGATAAGAAAGAGATGATTGTGGATGTTATGAATGAGAAGAAGCTGGATGTCCTGGTTTTAAGTGAAACAAAGCTGAAGGGGGTAGGATACTTTAAGTGGACAGAAGTAAATGGGATTAGGTCAGGGGTTTCAAATAGAGTTAGAGCTAAAGAAGGAGTAGCAATAATGTTGAAGGATAAGTTATGGCAGGAAAAGAGGGAGTATAAATGTTTTAATTCAAGGATTATGTGGAGTAAAATAAAGGTTGGATGTGAAAAGTGGGTTATAGTAAGTGTATATGCACCTGGACAAGAGAGAAGTGTAGAGGAGAGAGAGAGATTTTTGGAAATGTTGAATGAATGCTTGGGGAGTTTTGAACCAAGTGTGAGAGTACTTGTGGTTGGGGATTTCAATGCTAAAGTGGGTAAAAATGCTGTGGTGGGAGCAGTAGGTAAATCTGGGGTGCCAAGGGTAAATGTAAATGGGGGGCCTTTAATTGAGCTATGTGTAGAAAGAGGTTTGGTAATAAGTAATACATCTTTTATTAAGAAGAGGATAAACAAATATACAAGGTATGATGTAGCACGTAATGAAAATAGTTTGTTAGATTATGTATTGGTGGATAAAAGGTTTAAGGGATAGGCTCCAGGACATACATGTTTACAGAGGGGCAGCTGATACATCGGATCATTATTTAGTTGTAGCTACAGTAAGAGTAAAAGATAGATGGGACAAGAGGAAAAGGGCAACAACAAGTAAGAGGGAGGTGAAAGTGTATAAACTAAGAGAGGAGGAAGTTTGGGTGAGATATAAGCAACTATTGGCAGAAAGGTGGGCTAGTGCAAGTATGAGTAATGAGGAAGTTGAAGAGGGTTGGAATAGTTTTAAAAATGCAGTACAGTGGACCCCCGCGTAACGATCACCTCCCAATGCGACCAATTATGTAAGTGTATTTATGAAAGTGCGTTTGTACGTGTATGTTTGGGGGTCTGAAATGGACTAATCTACTTCACAATATTCCTTATGGGAACAAATTCAGTCAGTACTGGCACATGAACATACTTCTGGAATGAAAAAATATCGTTAACCGGGGGTCCACTGTATTAGAATGTGGGCAGACATTTGTGGTTATAGGAGGGTGGGTGCAGGAGGAAGGAGGAGTGATTGGTGGAAAGATGAAGTAAAGGGTGTGATAAAACAGAAAAAGGTAGCTTACGAGATATTTTTACAAAGCAGAAGTGTTATAAGAGTAGAGAACAGTGGACCCCCGGATAACGATATTTTTTCATTCCAGAAGTATGTTCAGGTGCCAGTACTGACCGAATTTGTTCCCATAAGGAATATTGTGAAGTAGATTAGTCCATTTCAGACCCCCAAACATACACGTACAAACGCACTTACATAAATACACTTACATAACTGGTCGCATTGGGAGGTGATCGTTAAGCGGGGGTCCACTGTATATGGAGAGTAAAAGAAAGGTGGTGAGAGAGTGCAAAAGGAGAGCAGATGATAGAGTGGGAGAGGCACTGTCAAGAAATTTTAATGAAAATTAGAAAAATTTTTGGAGTGAGTTAAACAAGTTAACCCCTTGACTGTCAAAACCCCAAATCCTGAGGTGTCTCCTGGTGTTGAAAAATTTTCGAAAAAAAAAAAAAAAAATTCTTAAGAAATGATAGAGAATCTTTTCCCGATGGTAATGACACCAAAAGAGCAAAATTTGATGGAAAACTTACAAAGTTATACTCTCACAAAGTTAAGAGACCTCAGCGATATTCACGAATCAGCAATTTCGCCCACTTTGAGCCCTATTTTCGGCTAATTCCATTGTTCCAGTCGACAAAACTCATAGCTACTTCTTTAGAACTCCATTTGTTCTATCGATTGAGTTCAAGAAACTGCGCATTTACTGATTTCAACTACCCAATAATGTGGTCAGAAATTTGCAATTTGGCCAATTTCAAGCAAATTAAAAAATATGCCAATTTCAAAATAGGGTCCAGAATGAACAATGCAGACATTTCTGGCTCTAAAATAACATTTTCTTTGTTCATCAGTCACGTCTCCAGGCCCTTCTGATATTACTCTTGCTTTCTATTTTGAATTGTTATTCAAACAAAAAATAGAAGATTTACTGTTATGCAGACTACTGCAATATTTTAATAATTGTATAAATAATGTCAACCCATTCGTGAATGGATATTAGAATGGCTAGTTGAACATTTATTGAACAATGACATCATTTGTTTACTTTGGAACTTTGGCAAAAATCAAACATATTCCCTACTTTGAGCTCCATTTCAAGGTTCTTTTCATAGTAAAACCAATCAAAATCACATCTATTTCTATAACATGTTTTCCATTCTATCAAGTGAGACCAAGAAAACGAGAATACAACCATAAATACTATATGAAAATACACCACAAAGTCGGCGTTTTAATCCAAAAAAATGGTCGGAGTTTTTTTTTTCTCATTATGCACTGCGTGCTGCAGGATTTTTATTATATGGTGCACACTGGCCACACAGACCCATTCTCTAACATGTGGGCCTACCAGCTCTCTCCTGCTTGATTTGAAGCCACTAGAACTTTTGAGTATATATACGTCAAACACGGTGGCTCGAAAGACGTATATATACGATCGAAACAGTCAAAGGGAACGAATGGATTTGTCAGCTAAAAACAGAGTAGGGGAGTTAGTAGACGGGGAGATGGAGGTATTGGGTAGATGGCGAGAATATTTTGAGGAACTTTTAAATGTCGACGAAGAAAGGGAGGCAGTAATTTCATGCATTGGCCAGGGAAGTGCATCATTTTTTAGGAGTGAAGAAGACCAGGATGTAAGTGTGGGGGAGGTGTGTGAGGCATTATGTAGAATGAAAAGGGGTAAAGCAGCTGGAACTGACGGGATCATGACAGAAATGTTAAAAGCAGGGGAAGGTGGGGATATAGTGTTGGAGTGGTTGGTATTTTTGTTTAATAAATGTATGATAGAGGGGAAGGTACCTAGGGATTGTCAGAGAGCATGTATAGTTCCTTTATATAATGGGAAAGGGGACAAAAAAGATTGTAAAAATTATAGAGGAATTAGTTTACTGAGTATACCAGGAAAAGTGTACAGCATGGTTATTATTGAAAGAATTAGAGGTAAGACAGAATGTAGGAATGCTGATTAGCAATGAGGTTTTAGAGTGGGTAGGGGATTTGTAGATCAGGTGTTTACATTGAAGCATATACATGTATGTGAACAGTATTTAGATAAAAGTAGGGAAGTTTTTGTTGCTTTATGGATTTAGAAAAGGCATATGATAGAGTGGATAGGGGAGCAATGTGGCAGATGTTGCAAGTATATGGCATAGGTAGTAAGTTACTAAATGCTATAAAGAGTTTTTATGTGTATAGTGAGGCTCAGGTTAGGATGTGTAGAAGAGAATTAAGACTACTCCCCAGTAAAAGTAGGTCTTAGAGAGAGATGTGTAATGTCACCATGGTTGTTTAATATATTTATAGATAGGGTTGTAAAAGGAGTAAATGCTAGGGTGTTCAGGAGAGAGGTGGGAATAAATTATGTGGAATCAAATACAAAGTGGGAATTGACAGTTACTTTTTGCTGATGATACTGTGCTTATGGGAGATTCTAAAGAAAAATTGCAATGGTTAGTGGACGAGTTTGGGAATGTGTGTAAAGGTAAAAAGTTGAAAGTGAACATAGAAAAGAGTAAGGTGATGAGGGTATCAAATGATTTAGATAAAGAAAAACTGGATATCTTATTGGAGAGGAGGAATATGGAAGAAGTGAATGTTTTCATATATTTGGGAGTTGACGTGTCAGCGGATGGATTTATGAAGGATGAGGTTAATCATAGAATTGATGAAGGAAAAAAAGGTGAGTGGTGCATTGAGGTATATGTGGAGACAAAGAATGTTATCTATGGAGGTAAAGAAAGGAATGTATGAAAGTATAGTGGTACCAACACTCTTATACGGGTGTGAAGCTTGGGTTGTAAATGCAGCAGCGAGGTGATGGTTGGAGCCAGTGGAGATGTCCTATCTAAGGGCAATGTTTTTTATTATTATCACACTGGCCAATTCCCACCAAGGCAGGGTGGCCCGAAAAAGAAAAACTTTCACCATCATTCACTCCATCACTGTCTTGCCAGAAGGGTGCTTTACACTACAGTTTTTAAACTGCAACATTAACACCCCTCCTTCAGAGTGCAGGCGCTGTACTTCCCATCTCCAGGACTCAAGTCCGGCCTGCCGGTTTCCCTGAATCCCTTCATAAATGTTACTTTGCTCACACTCCAACAGCACGTCAAGTATTAAAAAACATTTGTCTCCATCCACTCCTATCAAACACGCTCACGCATGCCTGCTGGAAGTCCAAGCCCCTCGCACACAAAACC